GCGTTCCTGGCTGGCATCGGTTATCGTTCAGGCGTGTCTTTCTTTCGCTCCTGTGGCATAAGCCTACAAGGTCTACACCCACGCGGTCGAATGGGCGAGCCGGGCACGGGAGCGGCTGTAACATGCCAGTAAGGTGCCGCGGAGGTGTCTTGTTCTGTTGGCAAGTGGTGCAAGACTGAACGTATTTCTGCACAAAGCGATACATTCCTCGCCAGTAATAGCGTTGGCGCAGCCTTTCATAGGTTTTCAGGACACCTGCGTGAGCACTTTGGGGATCTGCATGGAAATTCATGCAGATGTCAGAGCGCATATGAGTTGGGACAGCAAGGAGCCACTTCCGACCACCAGGCATGTAGTTGCAATGGTACAGAATGTTGTCTCGTAAGGAAAAGTGGGCTGCTTGCCGGTGTAGCGCTCTCGTGGAAGGGACAGCAGACGGATCGGTAAGGTAGTCGACTAACAAGGCAAGGTATGGGTCTTAACGCTGCTCCGAAAGCATGTCAGTCGTGTCGAGTGGTGACAAGGTGGTAAAAGGGGGAGACAGAGAAGCCACATCTGGTGTTAATGGCGATCGCGAAAGTGCATCGGCATCCGCATGCTTGCGACCGGAATGATATACGACCCGGATGACGTATTCTTGCAATCGAAGTGCCCAACGCCCCAGGCGTCCGGACGGGTCTTTCAAGGTGGACAGCCAACATAGAGCGTGGTGGTCTGTGACCACGTCGAAAGGACGGCCGTAAAGGTACGGGCGAAACTTCGTCAACGCCCAGATTATGGCCAAACACTCCTCCTCTGTCACGGAGTAATTCAATTCAGCCTTCTTGAGAGCGCGACTTGCATAGGCGACTATGTATTCAGCTTGGGTGCCTTTCCGTTGTGCCAAAACTGCACCAAGACCGATGCCACTTGCATCGGTGTGAATTTCTGTGGCCGCAGCAGGGTCGAAGTGACGAAGAATAGGTGGTGAGGTCAGCAGGCGGCGCAGCCGGCGAAATGCGTCGTCACATGCAGGTGACCATGCAGATATGCCTTTGCTGTTGGAAAGCAGACTCGTGAGAGGTGCGATGATGGACGTGAAGTTGCGCACGAAGCGACGAAAGTAGGAGCAGAGACCGACGAAACTTTTTAGGGCTTTCAGTGATGTGGGCAACGGAAAGTCAGCGACAGCTCGAAGCTTATCGGGATCCGGAAGAACACCGTCTCTTGTGATGACATGTCCCAAGATGGTTAGTTTTCGTGCTGCGAAGTGGCGCTTCTTGGAGTTAAGTTGTAGGCCTGCAGAAGTTAGGCACGTCAGAATCTCGTGGAGGCGAGCAAGATGTGTCGTGAAATCAGATGAAAAGACTACGATGTCGTCCAGGTAACATAAGCAGGTTTTCCACTTGTGGGCACGCAAGATGGTGTCGATCATGCGCTCAAATGTGGCAGGCGCGTTGCAGAGCCCAAATGGCATGACTTTGAACTCATATAGGCCATCCGGCGTTACAAAGGCTGTTTTAGGGCGATCACATTCAGCCATTGGCACCTGCCAATACCCACAACGCAGATCCAAAGATGTAAAGTACTCGGCGCCTTGTAAACAGTCAAGAGCATCATCTATTCGTGGTAGCAGGTAGACATCTTTTTTCGTAATATTGTTTAAGTGGCGATAGTCCACGCAAAATCGTACGGTGCCATCTTTTTTCTTGACCAGAACCACAGGTGATGACCAAGCACTTTGAGAAGGCTGTATGACTCCACGTTTAAGCATGTCATCTACTTGCTCCGTAATGACGCGGCGCTCTTCGGCGGAAACGCGGTAAGGACGCTGTCGCAGAGGTGAATGTGAGCCGGTGTCAGTAGTATGAGTGATAGTCGTGGTGCGGCCCAGAGCAGGTTCTTGAAAGTCGAAAGAAGAACGAAACTTGTTAAGGAGAGCAACAAGTTGGCGGCGATGCGAGAGGGGAAGGTCTGCGTCAATAGCATTGTCGAAGGCTGACGAACTTGATGGCTCAGACGCATGAGTGATTGCAGCAATGTGACATGGCGTTTCGTCGGGAAGAATAATATCATCGATATGGCCGACAGGTTGCACATATCCTAACGTTTCACCACGAAGTAAGCCAATGGGGTAGTTGCAGTGGTTGGTGACCAGCATTTTGGTTAAACCAGACGCAATTGTAAGAACAGCAAATGGGAGAACGATGCCCTTGCGTTCAGTAAAAACCGGAGATGGCGTAAACACCACTGTGCCGTCGGGGTGCGCCAGACATGAAAGGCTAATAGGGACCGAAGCTTCAGGAGGCAAGGTGATGTCGTCATCAGCGATGAGTTTGCAGAGCAGAGGAGAGCGGTCGGGTGGTGGAAATTCACATGTTGGCACAAGGGACACTTCGGCACGGGAACAATCGATGATAGCTTCATGATGTGATAAGAAATCCCAACCTAGGATAAGGTCATGAGAGCAAGATGGTAGAACAAAAAACTGTACGACGTACAAAACGTCTCGGATGATGACGCGCGCCGTACACACAGCCGAGGGATGAATGCGTTGCGCGCTAGCCGAGGACAGCACCAAGCCACTGAGAGATGTGGTCACTTTCTTCAGTTTCCTACAAAATTTTGCGTTCATCACAGAAACGGCGGCCCCGCTATCAATTAACGCTAATGTGGCAACTCCTTCAACATCGACATCAACAACATTTTGCGGCAAAAATGGAGGCCTTGGGAATTGCGCACAAGGTGCAGTTCTTGCCTCTGGAACTGCACTGATTAGTTTCCCTCCTCAGGAGGTGGTCGACGACGCATAGGCGGTGGCGATCGGCGACGAAGTGATGGGAAACGAGCAGTCGATGGGTGGCGATCTGAGTCGGAGTGCCTCTGTTCATATGCAGACGTGGTGGTCTGCTGTGGTGCGTAGGTAAGTGCTCCGAAGTATGCGTGCGCAGGTGTGGGACGGCGGCGGCAGAAGCGTGCAATGTGACCAGCGATGCCACACGCGAAGCAGATGGGACGATTGTCTCGGGTACGCCACTCATTAGATGGACGGGAAAAGCGAGGTGGGGGCCTGTAAACTAAAGGCGAGGCCGGAGGAGGTGGAGCCGATAAGGCGACTGGATGCGGTGGGGGCCGCGCGACCACAGCTGCGTAGCTGAGAGGTGAAGGTGGCGCAGTTGGTGCGTAGCCAGCAGTTGAGAGATCAGATGGCACCGAAGTGCATGGGTAAGAGGCCGGAACTGTAGGGAGGGCATTGCAAATTTCAGTGCGTATGGCCTGCTGCATATTCAAAGGGAGGCTTGTCGTGGGCGCTTCGCTATGCGGCAGCAGGGAGAGCTGTCGGGCGACCTTCTCCCTGATGAAGTCTTTAATCTGGTTCGACAGAGTTCCTTGGTTAACGTTGACATTTGCGAGTGCGACGGCCGAGATCGAATCTGGTGATGGGACACTCTGTCGGGCGATGGAACGCTGACGACGCAATTCATCGAAGCTCTGGCACAGGCTTACGAGGACTGCCGCCGTGGTCGGGCTTTTCGCCAGCAACATCTGGAATGCGCCATCCTCGATGCCTTTGAGAATATGTCGAATTTTCTCTTCTTCAGGCATGGATGAGTTAACACGCCTGCAGAGGTCGAGCACATCCTCAATATAGCTAGTAAAGGTCTCGCCAGGCTGCTATGCTCGGTGGCGCAGCGCTGGTCAGCGCAGAGCTTGCGAACCTCTGGTCGGCCGAACGCTTCGGTCACGAGGGTCTTATAGGTGGACCAGCTGGCGATGGCGGTTTCGCGGTTGGTGAATCATAGCTTGGCGGTGTCAGCCAAGTAAAAGATAACATAGGCAAGCTTAGAGTCGTTGTCCCATTTGTTGCTGGCACTCACGCGTTCGTACAAGGAGAGCCAGTCTTCGACGTCTTGCTCACCACTGCCGCTGAAGATTGGTGGGTCCCGCTGACGGGTAGCACCGGGGCCGCGTCAGTCATGTTGTACGGTGGTCTTTCGGCCAACTTGCGAGAGCGGAGCTCCAGGTCTGTTTAGGGATCTCAGCAGCCTCCACCAAATGCGATGATGTTTATTCGAACAGAGGAGTTGCAACGAGGTCGCGACGGAAAATGGGCGAACAGCAAGTCTGGCAAAGGCGGCACAGGTTCTCGCGCAATCGGAGCACGGGCTTTTCGTTGTCTTCCGAAGGCGCATACACGTTGGTGCGTATGCTCCACTACAATATTTATTTCTCTCTAAATTGTGGAACGGCCTCTTTCATCATAAAGTAATGATCTTTGTGAAAGGATCTTGTTTCAGAGCAGCTTGGTTTGGTTCAGTTTAAGTGAGTAGTATAGGTTACACACTTTTTTCGTGGTTGTGATGATACAAAGTTTGCGTGTTTGTGCATATTATCATCATTGTACATCACCGTTTAGATCAATTTTAAGATAAATTACTTGTCTTTTTGCTGCAATAAAAACCCCAGGTTTGATGTTACTTGCCAGTGTTGCACCACTAAAGAATAAACACTGCAGTATTGCGATTTCTTTTTCTTTCTGATTCAAGCTAGTGGATTTCCACTGATTTGTTCTTGGTTCCTGGACCCTAACATTTTTTCATTCTTTTAGTTTCACATGTGTATGCATGCATGGATGTGTTAAGGCGTATGCTAGCATACGCCCTAACACATCTATGCATGTGCGAGGACGATTGTACCATATGAGGACGACCTCAGGGCATCGAAGTGTTGTCCTGGGCTTGTATGTATTGATTATTGAGTATTGAAAAGTATTGAATACACAGTTGTGAGTAAAATTTTGGGCCCAATGGACACTATAAATTATAAGAATGTTTCATATTGCAACATGTATAGTGAGAACCAGTGGTGCACTGCATGTCCGGTTGCCATCTTGCATAGGAAAGTTTAGCGGTATTTTTCATGCATTGATAATTAAAAAATTTTTTATAGGGGTATGTCTTCAGGCAAAAGTAAGAACGGACGAGCTATGAACTAGATGTTGCTCCTGCTGTAAAGTAATTCTCGATTAGTGAAAGGTAGCCCGAGAGGTTAAACAGAATGAAAACATTAAATTTATTCTTAGAAGCTGTTTATCAGCCCACTAAGGGTTGCATTCTTTCTAACGCAGGTGGAAGCACTCCATCTTTGACCCAGAATGCGTTTACTACCCACGGAGAGACGTGGTGTGTAAGTGATAACAAAGACGATGTAATTATTTTGTTCATTTCTTTTACGAGTTGATCCCCACCTCACCTTGTTCTCTGGTGCAGATGTTCCCGTGGGTTTCTTCAACATAACTGTCCCCACAAGCCCAGGAGAAAGGTACACATCTGTAACATGTTTCTGCGCATTGAATGCACATCTTGTGCTAAGTTGCAGTGAAACCGTGCTGTTAAATTTATTGCTGCTTATTAAGGTGTAAACTGGTCTTGCTTGAGGCTTAATCCCACAAACTACAAAGCCAGACAAGGACAGTCTTTAGAACGTTCAGGTGATGCTGATCAAAAATTGATTGATCGATTCTGTGTCCAGTTGCTGTGGAATCATGCTGATAAGTTCATTGCTGCTTAGTAAGGTTTAATCTACTCTTGTCTTGATACTTAAACTCACAAACTACAATTAAAAACTAGGACAATCGTTAAAAAGTTCAGGTGATGTCGATGAGAAATTGATTGATAGATTGCTTGATGTGATTTCACCACATCACAAAGCTATCAGAAAGCTATTCTAGAGGAGAAGTCTATATTTTTCGTTACCTGTCTTTTTTTCATTTGTTTTTAAGTTCACTTACAGCCCATCCTTGTAGCTTTTTTGTTGCACGCTTAAAGCGCAGGTGTGCAGTTTTTGTAATATATTCTGTGAGACAAAACTTCCCACTCTGCCAAAGATTGACAAATATGACTGCTGGTTCGAATCGACCGCCATATGAAATTCAGTATAAACATAAACCGAACATAATTTGTTTGCATGACTTTTTTTGAAACAATCAAACACTGCCAGCAGTATTTGTCTTTTGCAACAAAAGCTAACGCTATGAAAGAATTATACTGCTAACTGTCCTAGAGTCAAGCTGCGACCAAACATCCCAAAACCACTTTTGCAGGATGTTTCACGTTCCACGTGCTGGGCCACGACTTGTTGGCTGCTTCTTCCGGGTCATCATGGAGAACAGTGAGTTGGTATTGTGATATCAACCTCTAAGAAAGGAACAGGGGAGGGTTTGATGTCAATCGGTCCCAAACTACCACCTATGTTGCCATTAGTCTGGCCTGAAACTTTTATGCAAATTCTTGGTGCCACGTGAACGCACGGTCACATATGCGAATGTAGGGCAAGCTATTTATGTTTACTCCATTCTCTTCTATTCCACTTCAGCAGTACTACTATGAAATTGCTCGAACCATTCCCAAATTGGAGCTTGGGAGGTTTCTTCTGCATGCAGGTGCGTACAGTGGAAGCTTCCGTTCACAATTTCATACCTGTTTATGCGAGCATATGAGCATTCGTCTGATTAGCTTTTTCTGTGTCGGATGGAGGGGCGTAGTTTTCGTTTTTGTCACTTTCTCCAAAGCCCCAGGAATTGGTCCCATCACGTGCAGCTATACCGACCCGAAATATCTTTACCACTGTTTCTTTTTCTTATTTCTTAGTATATATGGTGTGGCCACTTATAGAGAATGTGATGAGAGAACTGTCATAAGCACTCGCGCCACTATACAAAAGAAGGGACTGCAGATATTTCAAAACGAGAACACGTACAGGTTAAAACGCCTTGGCAGGTACCTCCCAGCAGGGCATTAGACGAGCCACTCTATGATGACGGGCGATTTCTGACAGCGGCCCACAAACGGGTAAAGGGATACTAAAATGGAAGTTTTTATTTGTGTCTTTGGGTGAAATGAAAGACCATGCCCTCAAGAGCCTAGAAAATTTACTGGTAAGCATCGGTGTATTCTAAAAAAGTACATTCAAACCTCTTTATAACAAGGTTGCATCTTTCACGTAAATAAGTTTGTTATATCGGAAAATTCATTACAAAAGTATATTTTTTACACTATATATATTGCAAAAGTATTCTTCATTTACTTAGTTATAGCCAATATTTAATATCTGTCTTTGTTATTTTGAGGCTTGAGTGTAATTACAGTATGCTTTTAAAGGTTAGTTTTGGTTCCCACTATACCCTTGCGTCGTTCCGTGGTACAAGCAGTCAGACTTTATGATATACTCCACGACCCACATGTTCCCTCTACACTCAGCGCATTCTTTATTCTCTGCGGCACATCTTCAACATGTACGGCTTCTCCCCTCTTACACTCATCTCTCCCTCCCGTATTCCCGCACGGGCACGCGCGCCCCCTTCTGTTCACTTGAAACTCGTCCCATCTCGTTCCTTCTCCGTCAACCACACACAGCCTCCAAGACCACCGCCCAATCGACACTCGTGCCATCTTGTTCCTCCACCGTCAACCACACACGGCCTCCGAGACCCACGCGCTTGTCCAAAAGACTGATGTTTCCAAGGCCGCTTCGTTCTTGGTTCCATTGGCCATGCACAAGTGGCCATTTCGAATGTTTTGGTGCCTGACGCCATCAAAACTAACCTCACCGGTGCGAGAAATTATTTGAATAGACAATGTAGCCTGATGTCATATTGGTGTTGATGTCAGTAGGTGAACCATGCGAAATGGACTTTATGTGTAAAAAGTTTCAGCATTTACTAAGTGCGGTGATGGCGTAGTGGTTAGAGCATCTGCCTCGCATGCAAAAGATCCGTGGTTCAAATCCCGGTGCCACGCAGCTCCCAACCGGATAAAAAAAAATCCGCTTGGTGATGGAACTGCAGTAAGAGGCTTGGGGTGCGGCCTCACCAGCAACCACCACCGGTAACGCACTCCCTCACCATAGAAGGATTGGCCGCCCTGGTGCAGTATCTGGCCAGTATACCTTCCACATGCATACGTCAGTTAACTCACGACCCTCAGTCCCCAGCAGCTGCGAAGCAACTGACTACGGTGGCGGTCAGATCTGCAACGCAGCTGAGGGTGCTAAGAATCTCTGTATCCGGACAGGCCGCCATTGGAACCTGAACTTGGCAACGCTTAACGCTAGAACCTTATCTAGTGAGAAAAGTCTCGCTGTACTATTCGAGGAGCTATAGGTTGTTAAATGGGATATAATAGGGCTCAGTAAGGTTAGGAAAACAGATGAGGCCTATACGGTGCTACAGAAGGGGCACATATTTTGCTATTGGGGCTTGGCTGACAGGAGAGAACTGGGAATGGGGCTCCTAATTCATAGAAACATAGCTGGCAACATCGAGAAATTCTATAGCATTAATGAATGGGTGGTACAGATACAAGATTAAGTAAAGATACAAGTAAAGATACAAGTAAAGAGATACAAGATGAAGGTGGTACAGGCTTACGCGCCTACATCTAGCCATGATGACGCTTCAGTTGAAAGCCTCTACGAAGACGTGGAATCGGCAATGAGTAAGGTAAAAATGCAGTATACTATACTGATGGGAAACTTTAATGCAAAGGTAGGAAAGAAGCAGGATGGAGACCAGGCAGTAGGAGATTATGGCATAGGTACTAGAAACGCCAGAGGAGAGCTACTAGTATAATTCGCAGAACGGAATAATTTACGGATTTTGAATACCTTCTACCGAAACAAGAAAACTGCAAGTGGACATGGAGGAGCCCTAATGGCGAAAGTAAGAACGAAATAGACTTTATAATGAGTGCACACCCAGGCATCGTGCAGGATGTGTAAGTGCTTGGCAGGGTACGATGCAGTGACCATAGAATGGTACGGTCTCGAATTCACCTAGACTTGAAAAACAGAGGAAGCGTCAAAAGAGGGATAGGCAAAAATCGGGACAAAGAAGGCAAAATAACTACCAATATAGATAGGATAGTTAAAATAGTGGAGGAGTTTTACAGAGATCTGTATAGTAGCTGGGACAACCACGACCTTAATACTATAAAAACTAGCAGTAACCCAGATGACACCCCACCAGTAATGATAGAAGAAGTCAGAAAAGCTTTGGGGAGCATGCAAAGAGGCAAAGCTGCTGGTGACGATCAGGTAACATAAGATCTGCTGAAAGATAGAGGACAGATTGTGTTAGAAAAACTGGCCACCCTGTTTACGAGGTGTCTTCTGACGGGAAGAGTACCAGGGTTTTGGAAGAATGCTAACATTATCCTAATACATACGAAAGGAGATGACAAGGACTTGAAGAATTACAGGCCGATCAGCTTACTCTCTGTAGTATATAAGCTATCTACATAGGTAGTAGCTAACAGAGTTAAGAAAACATTAGAATTCAATCAACCAAAGAAACAAGCAGGATTTCGAACAGGCTACTCAACAATCGACCACATTCATACTATCAATCACGTAATAGAGAAATGCTCAGAATATAACCAACCACTATACATAGGCTTCATAAATTACGAGAAGGCGTTTGATTCAGTAGAAATATCAGCCGTCATGCAGACACTGCGGAATCAGGGCATCGATGAAGCATATATAAACATCCTGCAAGAAATTTACAGGGGACCAACTGCTATCATAGTGCTTCATAAAGAAAGCAACAGAATACCAATCAAGAAGGGTGTAAGGCAGGGGGACACAATCTCCTCAATGCTATTTACCGCATGCTTACAGGAGGTTTTCAGAAACCTAGAATGGGAACAGTTAGTGATAAAAGTTAATGGAGAGTACCTTAGTAACCTGCGCTTCACCGATGACATTGCATTACTGAGTAACTCAGGGGACGAAATGCAACTCATGATTACGGAGTTAGACAAAAAGAGCAGGCAGGTGGGTCTTAAAATTAATCTGCAGAAAACGAAAGTAATGTACAACAACATCGGAAAAGAGCAGCGCTTCGAGATAGGTAATAGTGCAATTTAAATTGTAAAAGACTATGTCTACTTAGGGCAGGTAATAACCGCGGAGTCGAACCACGAGATTGAAGTAACTAGAAGAATAAGAATAGAGTGGAGCACATTTGGCAAGCGCTCTCAAATTATGACAGGTAAATTGCCACTATCCCTCAAGAGGAAGGTATATAACAGCTGTATCTTTCCAGTACTTAGCTACGGAGCAGAAACCTGCAGACTTACAAAGAGGATTCAGCTTAAATTGAGGACGACGCAGCAAGCAATGGAAAGAAAAATGGTAGGTGTAACCTTAAGAGACAAGAAGAGAGCAGAGTGGATTAGGGGACAAACGGGGGTTAAGGATATCATAGTTGAAATCAATAAGAGGAAATGGACATGGGCCGGGCATGTGGCACGTAGACAGGATAACCGCTGGTCATTAAGGGTAACTATTTGGATTCCCAGAGAAGGCAAGTGGGTTAGGGGGAGACAGAAGGTTAGGTTGGCAGATGGGATTAAGAAGTTTGCGGGTATAAATTGGCAGCAGCAAGCACAGGACCGAGTTAACTGGCGGAACATGGCAGAGGCCTTTGTCCTGCAGTGGACGTAGTCAGGCTGATGATGATGATGATGATGAAGCTTTAGAATTGCACTGGGGTGCCTCTATGCAAGATATTTGTATGATAGAGTAAATTTGCTATCAATAGTTTGTGTCTCTTTAATATTGTAGTAGTTATTTGTTTCATTTAGTAATTGCACTATGTTGGTGCCTTGACACAACAGCATTGTCTTTTCTTCATGTTGCAAAAAAATGATTTCATATACATGCTGATTTGACTGATATACATACGTACTGAGATACATACTGACAATGCAGCTTGCAAGCCGTGTTAAAGCTTACAAACTTCAATAACTGCTTCACACACTTCGGCAGTCTGACAGTTAACCCTTAAAGAAGTCTACTGCAATTTTTTTTTATTAATTTTTTGCTGCCTACTTGCTGCAGCTGGCCTGTACAAACCGGAGGGCCTGTGGTGGACAGAAGCGACGCGGGCTGCTTTTCAGGACGACATGGCATGTCTAGAAGAAAAGCACAGCCAAATGGTGAGGATGACGGCCGAATTGCACTCATCGTGCATTAATGCACAGGACAGTCACTACATCACACATAAAGATAATTGATAATTGTGTCCGACTCGGGCATGTGCACGCGTTGCTACATAATGTGCCTTCTTTGGATAGGAACCCCACACATCAATCAATCAATCAATCAATCCTTTGAACGGAGTACTCATGTCTTCATTTGACACACTGTCTGCTTTTTCGTACATCTCAGTTATCCATTTAACAAACTTGTAGATTGCAAAGGAGTGCTCAGAGCTCATGTTTTATTCGTGAAGCAGTGATATGCATGTTATCACCTGTTGACTGCGTTCTAAACAGGCAGCCATGGCACTACTGAATGAAAATTAAAGCTGCACTTATTTTGAGAGTTTTCAACACATGCTGACCCTTGGCTTTCCATACAACGCACAATTTGTGAGCTTACAGGAAAATGGCTCTCCTGGTGTACATCGAGCCTATTGCTGTGAACAAAGTGGCAGAGCTAAAGTGTATATTTGACATTGTAGAAACTGGTGCCGTTCATACACACATTTTCGTTTTTAGAGAGGAGATCTTAAGTGCCTTTTCATGGATTTTGTGTCAGCTTGTGCGAATAGTAAATTTTAGGTTCAAAGCAAATACTGATTTGGTGAAATATTTTGGAATCAAATTCAAATAGTATATATTACATATTTTAAAAAAAATTGCGTGTTTGTCATCACCCAACTAACCTGCACAATACTTTTAAAAAATTTTAACAAGGCACATGCTAATGTTATTTTTTTTCGGCTCAAAGAAAGTGAAAGCTGGACTTGAATTTTTGTAGAATGCTAGTGATAACCTATAAAGTCTGCTACTTTTTAAAATGTACTGTACCTATATTATATAAGCAGGCATAACAAGCTTTTGAACTTGAATAATGATGAATCGATCTGAGGTTAATGTGTCCATTTAACCTTAAAGTGGGGCTTTGCAGCTGTGCGTATTTTGCTGGACGGCTAGCTGTATTTATGGTAGACAACTTGTTCACCGCAGTGAAGCCACCTGTACAGGGGGGTTTACATGCAGACTCACATGCACCTATTCATTCATTTGAATACTTTTAAATTTTCAATAATATAAATTTGCATCAAAGTAAATTCAAGTTTTGTGTAGAGGAATGAAACGAGACGGTGGTGGATGAGGCTATGTCGTGGTCGCAACTTTTTATTGGGACGTGGGCGAAGAGGAAGACCAAAGCAGTTGCGGCTGACGCATTCAGCGGGGCCCAGAGTCAGAATTTTCTGACCACCACGTGGCTCGTGCCTCATGCGACACGCGGTTTTTATCTTCTTGCAGCTTTTAAAAGTGCTTTGTCTGCTGCCACTGTTGAACGAGCTGCTTAATTAAGTGTATGATCAGTGCTGCCTGCACTAGAAGCAAGAAGCGCTGACCGCCAAAACAAGCTAAGCACCTTCACTAGGAGGAACCCAGTTCGCATACTTTGTTATGAAATGGCCGAACAGCTACGCCGTGATCTCTCCCATTGTGGGGTGTTGCAATTTTAGGTAAAATCTTTCACCCTCCGGGCCACGCGTGCAGATTTTGCAAGACGGGGGGATCAATCTGCACGATGTCAACAAGCGCCTCAACCTGCAAGGCCTGAGCGACGTTGAGGACAATGTGGCCGTGCGCATCTCGGTGAAGGTATTCAACGACCGCCTGTTCACGAATCGGTATCTCAACCGCGACTACAGGCTTCCTGGAGTAGAGCACCTATCCTCGCAGCAGCTTTTTTTCATCTACCTCGCCCGGGTGAGTGAACAACATGCTTCTCTTTGGGTTGTGGCTGTTGGATGCTTCTCTTTTGGGTTGTGGTTGTCGAACAGTACCTCGTCCAGTAGCTCAATGAATGCATACACGTGTATTCTGTATGTTCAGTTTATGTCACGAAACTTGGTACATCATTTTATTCATCATCATACACACCTGTAGTAGTGAGCTACGCATTTCACCAGATGAACCTCTATAGTATTCATTAAAAAGCCTATCTCTGATTTCTTGATTTTTTTTCACACCTACTTAGGTGAACTTCAGCAGGCACTGTACCATCACTTCTAAACTTTTTCTCTCAAATGCTCTGACTTCATTCAATCAGACCTCACTTTCCATGCATGATTCACCTCTCCCACACAGATGTTAGCATGAGTGATGGAGTCAAACTTCATTGCAACAAAGTAGTATTAGATCATTTTGACAAAGGCAATATCAGTTTAAATTGAGGCTCTTCTCAGAAAACCTTGTTTCAGAGCATACCTGAAAAAGTGGTGTTCACATTTCGACATAGGAAGCGTTCAAGTTTTGACCTTTGTTGCATGGTTACGCCTACTTCGCATCTGTTCTGCTCTAACGCGTCATTTCAACAAAGGCTCCCTGAACGCTGCCGTAATCTTATCTGGGCTGTTCTAAGTATACGTGAACTTTCGAAAACGCACTGCTGAGGCAGTGACGTTAGCCTTTGTACTCCCAAGCAATAGTTCAGAAAAGAGGTGCTCCTTGTCATCGCTTAAAAGGTCCATATGCTGTGCCGAGTCTGTTGTACAGCTGTGTTAGTGAAAATTTCCCACTTCACCTAATGGCTTACCCACTGCTGTGTCTCTCTATCTAGAGTCACTGTGAGATTTTCACAATTGAGAAGAAGCTCGAAGACATCCGCTGCTCCTACAAGAGCAAAGGAAAATACAGGTGAGCTATGTCTGGTGCTTTGAAAAATAACGGGAAGCATATTATGGCGATATACGTAGTACTGGAGTTAAGCTGTTTCCATCAAGTAAGGTATCACTACTGGGTAATGTATATGTGGAATTCATACCGTCATTAGTGGCACACGTACGACCACTTGCAATCACATCATGGAAATATCTTATTTTTTGTTTGCTGCTACATTGGTTCTGGTATAGTATGATGTCTGCCGTCTAATAAATCTCGCTTTTATACAGAACTAGCCATTCAACACATACCTGTATTAACTGCGATCTAAAATTATTATGCTGTTCATGTGAGCAGAGAAAGCCAGAACAAACAAAGTCATTGGAGAAGCAAATTATTGCTCTCTATAAAAAATTGAAATTAAACACTTACACCTTCATTTGAAGCACTTAAGATGACACGTGTGAGTCCCCTTGCTTATGTCATGAAAGTCCCACTGTAAAAAAGCTGCAATCGGTCGCACACAGAGCGTGTAGCTTTATGTAATATTTGAAAGCAATAACAGTGCATACAAAATAATGAAACTGGACGAGAGAAAGGCAAAGGGCGCTATATATTCATCTGGATTTATTTTGATGACGAAGTGCATATCTATGCGATGGAGAGGAAACAAGGCAAGAACAGGCACGCACATCACTGCTACATCATCCGACATGCTTAAACAGTCATCTTTGCCTCTATTCTGTCTCATTTCCTCAACCTGTATGTGCTGTTGATAGGGTCTCTTAACAAGTTACCGAAATGCGGTAGGCAAATACGGTAAGGCAGTGCGTTAGTGCCCATCCTTTCCAGCGACAGTGTGTCCTCCAGACGACAGTTCCCTCGCTGACAGGCTGACAAACCACAACAAGGCATGACAACCCCACAGTAATCTTTCAAAAAGCTCTTGTGTTGTTGGGAAGCCTTCGCCGTTAAAAGGTCAACGACGGGGAAAAGAGGAATGGTACGACAATACTGTGCGTATATGTGTAGCAGATTTCTGTAACTTGCTCAAAGACTAATACTTCCAAAAGGATGTGTACACACTTGCCGATGTTTCAATTCTTTCTTCAAGGAGAAGCTGAAGAACTTTTCTAAAAGAATGACTTAGGATCGTGTAAGGACAGTTTGATTCCTGTTGAATTAGAAAAGTGATGGGAGAGTTTTCAATAGTGAACGTCAATAGCACTTTTTTGGTGTAAAAACAGTGGCTGTGGCTGCCGGGCTTCTTGAGACACCAAGCGAACACGATGACGTCATTCTCGGTATGCCGCGTCATCTATAACAGCAGCACTGCTCAAGTGTGGCCTCTTCGATTAGTTCCGGCAAAGGCATGCCGTGGGTTAGTCATAGAGGCCATGGTTGAAGATAAAGAACATTTGCTCCGGGCCAGAGGAAATGAAGATGACGTATGTTTCCACGCCCACACTTTCAGCGCGCTCGCGGGGGCAGAGCAAGACAAGCTTTTATTTCACCTGTTCTAAAGCTCCTGGGGCTACAACCCCGAAAACAATTATGACATCATCAACAGTAATGTCGGTCTTTCCTAAACATGAAGTTAAATTGAATTCTAAAATACCTTGAGTTTCCATTTAAAGAATAGGAAAGTTAAGTGACCAGATATTGAAAATGTAGTTGAAAGCGGCAGAAGATCGGCTGACATGTGCTTGTAGAAGATGCAGTTGACCCATGCAAGGCAGGGGCATCTGGGTATTACTGAGAGAAAAATCTGGCAGCTACGGGAGCACAGAAGTGTGCCAGCCCCTTGAAACTGATCAACAAGAACGTCTACGAAGACCTTCTTGTGGTCCATGAGGGTGTGGAAGGGGCAGGTATTCTACCTGGCTCGAAATGTTAACATACCCAAATGCTGACTATCATTCTAGACACACAGTGTTATGATGGAATGAACCTTAATTGCATGAATAAGCTTCAAACTTTGGTCACAACAATGACATATTTTGTGTACTGTGTACACCGATTGAAATATGACATCAACACATTACAACACTAGTATGTGCAATTGTGAGATGACTACGCCACATCGCTGCAAATCTGGCCGCTAAAGTTAAGATAGACTCTGATTTAAAAAATATTCGTGTCTAAATTAAGCTGATATGGCACTAACGGTGTACTGTGGAAATGAGGTGTGAGCATTGCTTAGCCCTGCAATGTTGTGTTATGATGTGTAAGCACTGTACGTATGTCCCTTAACACAAAGCTGCTTTGGCCCCAACTCTGCATTTTGATTTCACCATCTGATTTGCTGCCTTTTAAGGACTGGAAAAGCTACGCCTTTTCTGAAATGGGGTTTTGCAGGGTACTGGACATAAGTAGTAGGGATGAGCGAATAGTACAATTTTTTTCAAAGTAGATTCAAACTGAACAGTTTTTTGGTCGATTAATTTGGAATTGAATAGTTAAAATAGTATATATCACATTGAGAAAAATGAGCATTGCTAACTTGATTGAACTAACTTGCACATTATTTTTTAGAACTGCAACTAGGCATCTGCGAACATCGCTTCCTAATTGAAAGTATAGTAGAAGCAGCCTTGTATACTAGTAGCGAACGTCGCTTCCTAATTGAAAGTATAGTAGAAGCAGCCTTGTATACTAGTAGCAATAGTACACCAGTCAAGTGTAAGTCACAAGAAGTAAAATATGTTTTACAATTTACAATACTTATTGTATATAAGTCAGAGTGACATACCTTCAGACTCAAGGTCATCGGTTAAGGTGCAGGTAACATGTACATTTGATTTTGAACTGTGATCTAGTGAACATGTGGATTTCTTTGATAGGTGTTTTCATGGCATAGCAGACTACGCTGCAGTGTAACCATTTATTCAGGGCGAGTCATGTGCACTCGGAAACCGTTCATTTTGAATACTTCAAACTTTTAATTAACTTATGTTCATGTCGAAATGAAATAGATTATGGTAATGTTTTCGGAGTGTTCGAAGTGCTTAAAAATTCGCCCATCTCATGCATAACCATGCATCACGCTGCATAAATGGTGGTGATGGGGGCGTGGTGAGTGTAGTTTTAACCGAGTGACTGGAAGACCTCGTATTGAGGTAGTATATAGTACATGCTCTTGCCTGAGTTGCTGCTTATCCTTACTTTCCAGAACTAACCTGCCCCTGAGCAACAACCATGAGTTCGCCGATGCATTTCAGTGCGCGCACGGCACAGAGATGAACCCTACGACACAGTGTTCAGTCTGGCGTTGATAGGTTGTGTACGTTATATATGTTTTCTTTTTTCAATTACATTCAGCTGGGCCTAATAAAATGTACATCTTCTCTGCTGTGCAGATGAAATACTTGCATAGAAATTCGTGTTTACTAACGGTAAAACCCAAGTACATTAACTACGAGGTTTGTGAAAGTTCTGTACATTAGTAATTGTATACACCATCCCCATCTGAAATCGGACTGTTTCACACATGTACAAAGCACCATTTTAGGTATGTTGTATACTACTGTTGCTTTTTTATTTATTTTTTAGTCAAAAGGACACTCTTGTGCAGGACAGCAAAGTGATTGTGTGTGTGTATGTGATATATATATATATATATATATATATATATATATATATATGTGTGTGTGTGTGTGTGTGTGTGTGTGTGTGTGTGTGTGTGTGTGTGTGTGTGTGTGTGTGTGTGTGTATGTATGTATGTATGTATGTATGTATGTATGTATGTATATATAATGTCCAGGTGACATCGCTCTTGCATAATATACATTTATTGCACAACACAGCACACATGTTTTGTGCAATAAATTTTAACCCAAGAATCGGTGCTATCTGTGTGTACTCTTCATGTTTTGTTTCATTTTCTGCATTGCACGTACAAGTAATTGGGAGATCTATGTGAAGCTTACCCGAAAGGTCCGCACGTCCCAAGTCACTATCTTGAGATCAAGGAGAAGGGGGCATTTCACAATGCTATCTGTTGAAGGCAAATGAGTTGCTTTACTAATTATTAATCCACGCCACTCCTTATGGAAAAGGGATGTTGGACTGGGAGGCCATTTATATGTTCTTGAAACAGAAGGATGTTCAGCTCAGCAAGTTTGTAATAATGGTGGCAGCATACAGCGCAGACTTTCAACAGTCAATGTCGAAAAGGGGATGTCTGTGCAAAATGTGAGCGCTGTATGTTTCTAGTAATCTTGAAGCAGTGTAGTGAACTTGTTTTTCTACAGCAAACAGCAGCAGGTAATATGCTTCACGTAGTATGCTTCAAGTTATTAAAGCAACTTATTAAAGCAGGTAATATGCTTCAACTTATTAAAGCAAAGTTTATACAAAGTGTTAATGAAATATTTGCCGCAAGAGTTTAGAGCTATCCATAGGTCTTGGTAGGACTTTACCCATTTTTGTTGCATGCCTTCCACTGTAAACATATTGTTTCTGTACCTTAATTGTTTAGGTGTGCAAGCTTAATGAAGCAGTGCCACTTTATGTGCTTAAAGTCGAACCCGACGATATCAAACGCGTGTTAAAGGGATTTATTCTGTGTACCGAAATATTTTCTAAGCTATCAAACCTTTAATGGGACACTTAAAAAACAAAACGATTAAAAAAACAAATAGAGAATTTTACAAATAGTAAAGTACAACTTCACAATCCCAAAAGCACCACTCCTACTGCATCACGATGATTGGTAAGACCGTAAGAGACAAAACGCGTGAAAAAAAAGTGGGTGGAGACGCCATTTTGAGATTCCCGCACCAAACACCGTGACGGGAGATTTCTAAGGCGTCAGCCTTAGGCCTTGCGTTGCTTCAAATCGATAAAAATCAAGTACATCGTCATCTGTTGGTGCCATAGACCTAGTATACGAAGTTTCAGAAAATTCATCGAGCCAATGTCGCGAAAATACGAATGATACATTTTCAAACTTTTTTCACATCACGTGCGGAGATTTCGGCGTGAAACTTAAAAATAATACGTCAACGTTGATTTTCTCCGGTAATGAAGGCTGTGTTCCAATTCTTAGACAGCACGTAGACAGTCTACGAAGACTGCTTAGAAGACAGCATCGAGCCCATGCTGTCCAGGGGCGGTGCCAGGGGGGGGGGGGCAAGGGTGGGCTGGAGCCCCCCCAAAATTCTCGCCTGCCCCCCCTATGCCCACCCAAGTGCCCGGAAGCATATATTGAAAACCTAGTAGGAGCAGAGCTAGCTTGCCCCCCCCGGAGGAACTCACTTTTCGTGGTTGCCCCCCCAGTAAAAACATCCTGGCGCCGCCCCTGATGCTGTCCGATAATTTGAACACGTTGAGACAGCTTTTACGCGACAATGCGCTACCTCTCGTCGAAAAAAAAGCTAAAAGAAACAAACGTAACAGTTGTAATTTCTGGCTTATTTCGTGTTTAAATATAAAAAAAAATAAACTGTACTCACATTGAGCGTGTGGGAAAGCGTACAGACGGCCATTCTGGCGAGATTTCATCTATCTGAGCGATTCGCTGAGCCGCCATCTTGTTTAGACAGCAAAGTAGCCTGCATTTTATTTGTCTACGATGCGGTCTTCTCGGAGCTGTCTACTTTGCCGGCTACGTGAGAATTGGAATGGGACTTAAGATGGCCGCCGTCCATTTAGCTGTCTATTTAGCCGTCTACGATGAGTATTGAAACACAGCCAATGAATTGATAACTTTGAAATATAAGGCATTATAGAGTTCTCAGAATGATGTTTGTAAATCTAAACCAAATCATTGTTTTTCTATAGTGTCCCTTTAACGTTATTGGATAGAAAAAAAAACCTACGAACAAATGTAGCCGGAACCCTCAAAAAGTCAAATATCCGGCAGCTCTGCACGCCCGAAGAAGGTGGCTTTCCCTGAAAATAGGTTGACCTTTTATAACGGAAGGAGACCTTTAGGAAAGTATTGAGTGAGTGAGCTGCGTGATAAGGCACGACGTGTGGAGTGAATCGTCGCACCTCACACTTGTTCAATCATACGAGTTGCCCACCTCTCCATACGCCCCATGTACCAAAATCTGAACTGGGAAACGCCTTTTCGGTAGCTAATATGGTAGAAAGCTCATTCTCGACCTGCGGGTCGACAGGCAAGGCCGAACGGGTCTTGAGGAACGTGGCGCTCGTGGACGCAGTAACTTCTAAAGAGTTGCATCAAAATCCGGACACAAAACGGCCAAATGAACTCGATCGCTTACAGCGTATGTATAGAATAGAGAACTCTCTTAGCCCAGTGGGAGGCACTCCTCGCTAGCTCGGACCCGGAGGTGCAACTAGCCCTCCTGGACCACGTCCGGCTGGCGGCGCAAGCCAGTGGAGTCTTGGACATGGGGCCCCACCCATCTAGCTCCTAAACCCCCTTTTTTTCGACCCAATAAAGTTGTTTCTCTTTCTCTCTCTCCGTTAACCGAAATAACGGGGGTCTGTTGATTGTCACCCCATCTGTTGAATAGAAAACTAACTAATAAACGATCGCGGTGACGCGAGCAGTGCGTGCGGAGTTGGGCAGCTTGTGAGGAGTGCACGCAGGAACGTGGCTGCCCGAATCGACGCGCGCACCGCGGGTTGCTAATAATCCTGGTGGCCGTGGCAGAAATCCCTGCCGTCTTAATGTTGAATTCCAATGGCAGGTCGCGTGCGCTGGGCCGGATTGCGGATAGAGTGCGCAGATCCGAGCGGGATTGCTCTCGCCAAATCTGCGATTGGAACGCGCGCGTCTATATGGGAACTCTTGGTGAGCAGAAATCTAACGAGGGAGCACGAGAGGGTGCGAGGGAGTGCAGAGCGTTTTGCGGACAACTATCGGTGATTGGATGAAAGGCCAGCACAGAATACGTCACTTCCGGTCAAATCCGTTTGTTTCGGTGGAGCGAGAATTCTTGCTCCGCGGAGCAATCTGTGATTTGCGGTTGCTCTCAATCTGCCATTGGAACACACAGTTCACGCTCCCAATCTGCCATTGGGATGTGATTTCTCCACTCAGAGCAGAAAAAACTGCCTATAGTTACTACCTATCAGAAAAAACTGCCTATCAGAACTGCCTATAGTTATAGCGCGAGAACAGAACGATGACAAAGAGACAAGAAGGACACGAGCGCGTTCTGTTCTCGCGCTATAACTTTAGTCATGTCATACCAACTAGCCCATACTGCCACACTGGATCTGCCATTGGAATTCAATATTGGACTGGTCGTTTCGGAGCGCTCTCCTTGGCGAAAGCGAGAGAGAGAGAGAAAAGCTGAGGAAAAGAAAATACGCAACCTCTGTTTTACAGGATAGCGCCCTAAAACGACTAGAAACGACCAGTCCACGGAGGAAGGAATGGACCAGTCAAATCGGACACGGGACATGAGTAGACATGGCTACTTTCGTTCCTCTGAACAAATTTCGCAACTTGCGTGATTTAAGAACTGTGATCGCACCCGTATTTCCGTCGTGCGGGATCACCGTTCGCTTCTCCGCAATTTTCGGGTCCCTTTGTTAAGAGGCACCTGACTAAAATAATTAGTGTAGACTGATATAGCATACTTTAAAAACTCGTGTCGTTAGTTTCGACACTACAGGTTCATCGATGGAAGAGATATCACTGTCGAAATTCTCGGTTTCCCGCCGCTATATACAATGATGACGTCATAGATTTTCATATGTCGGCCTCATCTGAACGGCGAAATTTTCTAAGACTTGGCGTGTTAAGCCTCTGGTTCTCTCGGAAGACAATGCGGTTCATTTTCGCCGATTTAGTAGTCTTAATAGATGCCGTCGAAAATCTACGACGTCATGGCAGCTGGTGCGGGAACTTTAAAGTCGCGTCGCCAATCGCATTGCGTTTTTTGTATCGCAGAGTGTTTTTCTCGCACAGAACAGTGTTTTTGGTATCGCGAAAGTGTTTGCGCATGAGTTTATGAATTGTAGGACTTTTCATGTCCATAACGCTGGTCCAAATCGACTGGACATGCTCTCCTAAATGGTCACGTAAGGCAAATATACTTGATGGCTGAAACAGCGGTCCAGAAACCACGTAGTGCTACTTAGTGCTGAGTAAATGCTTATCTTGAAATATAATTGTGTTTACGTGGCCCGCATGGCATTAGCGCACTTGAAGTAACAGTTGCAGTTGCCTTGCCCAACGTTGCCCACCTTTACTGTGCAGGCGTCCCCATATGCAAAGTTTTGTAGGAATGTAAGGTTACTGGATGATGATATTGCCATCTTGTGATGCTTTGTGCAACAACCACAGTCATAGACATCTTTGCACTTGCCAAGCGTTTTTGAAGAAAAAAAATGATTAAAGAAGTCGCCGCTTTGCCGCGAAAGTGAAGCAATGAACGTA